AAAAAAATCATCCCTTAAAATGAGAGCTACATATAGAATCATAGTACTGTTTAGGTCAGAACAGACTTTTAAGATTGTCTAGTCCAACCGTTACCCTAGGAATGCCACGTCCACCACTATTGTCTATTCTCAGCCAAAACTACAAAGAGAACTGTTTGAGACAAATTTTCCTCAGTAACCTCCTATTTGCGCAAGAGGGCAAGACACTTCAAATCGTTGGTACTGTCTCACGGTGGTGTTGGGAGGTGAGTGAGCGGCCTTCTGGTGGCAGACAGACAGACAGACAGACAGCTGAAGATGGGACACCAAGGCCACACAGAAACACAGACCCAGCGACAGAACTCGGGCAACTGAACTCCCAACCTGACCCTCTTACCAGCTGTTAAATTCTGTGCAGAGGATATTCAGAGAAGCCTTGTGCCATTACTTTGTTCTCTATGTATTGTCATGCAACTTTGCCATATTTTAGCACATTAATGTCTCTAATATGAATGCATTTTTCATCAGTTTTCATTTGCCCGCACACAGGGTCAAAGCCATACAAGTTACATGACCACTAAATCCAGAGAATTCACAAATAATGGGATCCACCGTGTGCTACATTATAATAGGACTAGCTGTGGAAGCCAGAGAAAGTCTGGCAGATCCTACCATATCTATGATTCTACTGTAGCTATGAGCTCAGTCCTGCATAAGATGAAGTCAAAAGGATCTTTGCCAATGTCTTTGCTGGGCACTGTGTTCTTTGCAAACTTGTGAAGACATAATGATTGAAATAAAAATAAATTCCACCACATCATAATTGAAATTTCTATTTATTAATAAGTGGTGCAGTTTTTAAAGACAGAACATAAAAAAATCAGTTAAGAAGTATTGTTTGCATAATATATTGAAATAAACATATTAAAGTTGTTCAAATATTGGACAGTGCCAGAATATAAATTACACATACAGTTTAAAAATTACAATAAATAATATTATAAAGAGCACTAAAGGCCACTTGTATAAAAGTTGTGTTCCCTTGTCAGCCAGAATGTGAAAAGCATCTTTGTAGCATGGAGAAAATTTCAGTGAGCAAGGCACAAATACTAGTAATAATAAGATGCCATAACTAGAAAACAAAATGCAGTTTGTTATGTAACCTTCAGTCCCAGTGTACTCTTGAAGATGGAAATAGGATTCCACTTCCACTATTTTGCTTCACTTAACTTCAGAGGGAAGCTACTTAAAGCTGAATTGGGAAGGATCAAACCTTACAGCCTAAGTAATCAGAAGCAATAGTGATACCCAGGATCTTCATCCCTAACAGTGCCTACCTAAAACCACTTGGAAATGGCCCCGTTTCGCTCTGCACCTCTGAAAAATGGTCTTCAAAAGTGACCTTGGGCTCCTGAAAAAAAGTGGTATCACACCAAATTTGCAAGGTGCTGTAGAAAATTTAGACTTGCAGCTCTTAGGTACCTAAAGCTTAGCAGGTGTGGGGGGTCGTGGGGTTCAAGGGATCAAGGTCCAGCTGTTTCTCACACCCTCGATTCAGTTCTTATCCAAAGATGTGACACCCCTGCAACAACTAGGCTCCCAGCAGGGCTGAATTTGCTCCTTAATCTGCATTTTCTGACTGTTATAGGCTGTGATCTTGCAGACGGATTGGACCACAGAGCTCGTCTGAAGGCCACAGGTCAGCAGTCCTGCCACGCATGGGTTCAGGGGGGAATTAGTTTGCGGCACTTCTGGGCCACAATTTGAAGCTGAAGAATTCAAAGCTATTTCCACTCCAAACCGTAACAATGCAGCAAAGCTACAGACAAAAACAGAGCAAATATAGCCAGAGTCAGATTAGAGATTTTTCAGTCAATCTCTCCACGTGTCAAATTCCCTTTTATTTTTATAGGAGCCAGACAGATTAATTCAGCGCAGGGAAAAGCCAAGGCAAGGACAACAATTTACCGTTACCTGATGAGGTTTTTTTTCTAAACTCCTTTAATGGAGCATAAACCACATTTTCTATACTTGCTTGCTTTATCTAAACATTCACTTTTGCCTTAATGAAATATTCTCTGTTTGAATCTAAAGTGAGGACGCTTGATTGATAATAATGCTTCAAAGAGAGGCACACAATGTAAACAGAGATTCACCTTTTCAAAAACTTCCAGATGCGTTTCATTTGTTAGTGACTGAAAAAACCAATGTAAATACATAGTTAAGGAAAACATCTCCAAATCAGTGCTTTCATAAGGAAATTCATAAAGGCAGATTAGGATCCAGTCCTGCTCCCAGTGCATCAGTTTGAGAAGGTTTTTTACAGACTTCAAAGAGAGCAGAGAAAAATCCCATACTTTCTGATTATGAAAAAAATCCTTGGCCACTTGTAGGAGTGTCACAAACAAACGGAAGAAGTGATAAACCTAATTTTTTCCTTGTATGAAGAGTATTATTGACCCAGGTGTCTGTCTCCAGTTAAATCGTCAGTAATGATTCCTTATATGTGGTGAATCTATTCAGCAAAACAAGTCCTGCACTTCTAAATGTTGCCAGGGTGAATAATCACAGATACTTTATTTTGGTTTGTCCGCTACCTATGGCAGGAACATGAACTGCAGTTCCAAGGCTGATGCACTTCCTAGACTCAACCTGAACTGGAGTCTTATGAAATTTGTGTGCTAAAAAATTCTTCTCAATATGCTTAATTCTAATGAATTGCATTTTTGTCAGCTAGTTTTATTCTCTTCAAGTTTAGACATGAAACTGCACCAAACACAGATTATCTTTCAGGTCAATGGCTGCTTTGTCAATTAAATGATTACCAAAATTGAGCCTCATGTCATCATAGTTACCGGCTTCAGAATAGCTCCATGGATTCAGCTCGGTCTTCAAAGGCTCTAACTGGTCTGCATTATTTACTCAAGTAACAGAGCAATTTGTTTTCCCTGAAACTCTGTCCCAGAAGGATGTATCATGATTTAAGTGAAGAAACAGATGAAGTAAGAAGATCCTAATCTTTTAAATATTGTCTCTTTAAAGAGACTATAAATGAGGCAATGCCTACATCTGGAAGAGAACAGAAGCTCCCTGGATGGAATGACTGTTATGAGATGTCAATGATACTGAGGAATCAAACACGAAGTTTACCGCGGTGGGCAAAACCCAACAATGTACCTTCCCTTGAAGCATACTCCAACCAGGCCTCTCCCAGTAAATACTGGGAATCCCAGTAAAGTTTGTCTCTTGTGCTCTGAATGGATGTGCCAGAGATACTCATCTGTGCAGCTACAGTGTAATACAAGCAGTTGCTACAGAAAGTCCACTTTCTAACATCTTACATGGTCCAAATCCTTGTGTCTCTTTTGATCAGTATTCTAACCATTGTGGTGAAATCATTGTATGGAGTTACCAGGGTCATTCTCAACAGGAGGTGGGCATGAGCCATAGTAGAGAGGCTACACCTTGGACCAGTGGGTAGGAGTAAGAGCCTTCCTCAACTGTGAATAAGGCTGATCATCTGATATCTAAGCAAGTCACCCGCTGCTCTCTTTGAAGTTGGTAGAAAACTGGTCATTGTAGGTAACTGAGTTAAAGATGAAATTAATCTCATCCTAAGCCTGATGTGCGCCTTGGTTCTGTGCTTAGCACAGCTGTGGAACTTGACACCAAATGGATGTATTTCATGAACAGCTGGACTGAAACCACATGAATCTTCCATCAGATATCTGGACTGGCTAGTTTCACTTGCTCTATAAATACTATTTTCCCACTGTACTGGTGAGAGATTTGATTCATTTCTGCCCTGTTCCCAGCGGGCTGGGTTGTTTTCTTGCTCTCCTTCAACATAATGTCCAATTCCTATCTAAAAATATTAATCTGAGGCCTAGGGAGCATACTTATCCTTCTGTTGCTCTGGGAGAGGTGACAAAAATGGTATTCCTGTATTTATTTCTACACTGATCTTAAATATGGCACATATTCACGGACTTGGAGAGGTCCATTTCCAAGAGAAACAGTAAACAGAGAGAAACAGATCCTGGCAGCATCCCACACTGTGGAACTGCCAGGGAACAGAATAGCCATACTCTGCACGTTGGAGGAGCTCAAAGCGCTTGGCAAATGTTAGTGAATTGAACTTTACAACCTGTGTCTATCTACGGAAGTATAACGTCCAATTAACAGATTGGGAAACTGAGACACAGTTACATTATGCAGCTTACTTAGCAACACATAAGTCAATAAAAGTGTGGAGTGTATAAACCTGGAGATCCCTACACTGAACAACCTTAGTTTTGGAACAGAAAGAAAATTTGGCCATGTAAGTAGCAAATGAGATAGTAAAAGATTTTCTACAAAATAGCATTCTAGTCATGCTTTGAGCTATTTTGCAAACATTAGTGAAGATCTTCGAAGTAGTTTGATGGATTTACATTAACATTTTATGACAACTAAATACCCACGACCAGTTCCAGGAGGTGGCTTTAAGAATTATAAATTCTACCTGTAATTTCATTTTGACACTGTATTTCATGGGTAGTTGTATAAGAGATCACATGAGAAACAATTAGTTCATAAAACCATTTCATCAAAGTTGTGTACTTTGACTCAGCTTTCTCCCTGCTTTGTATATTAGATGTTCTTGGCTAGGTTGCTTAGAGACTGATTTAATCTTATTGGGAAATGGATTCAGACATTATGTTTCCATAACGAAATACTGCTCCTGAAAATAATTTTACTTTGCTGCTCTGTTTACAAAATGTAGCAAGGACCACCACATCTTGCCTGTTATCAATCCACCGTCGTTGTATTAAAGAGTATCAGAGAGATATGTATCATAGAAGAAATCAGCTGTATCATTTATATAGGGTAAAGTCATGCAAACCATGCTCAAAACTAAGCTCCTTAGTTTTGGTAGCATGAAAAAAACTGCATTAGTAAATTGTATGAAATGGTGCAGAATGACTACCACTAATATCACATGCATCTTATGCAGCCATTGGTGTTTTGAACTAGTAAGCTTTGGGTGTAGAGTAAGTGAGATATACAAAGTATGCTTACATTACATGGAGAAGTCAACCAGTGACTGCCCTCACACGCACTTTTAAACCGGCTTATTTGAAGGGGTCCATATTGAATCCGAAATCCCATCTCCTGTAGAAGACAAAGGCATGGAGCCACTTGGTGTGAAAGGGTCAGTATCTGTGTCCGTTTCCCCCTCTGCTAGGTAGCGCTTCTCTCTCATCCACGCTGACCCCCCATTGGGGCCAAACGGGAAGTCATCTCTCTCTTGGGAGATGCTGAAGCCACTTGGGGAGCGCTCAAGTTCCTCATGGTTGACTGAGAGAAGGGACAAGGGAGTGTCACTGTCTCTTGTTAAGCTCCTTCTCTGCCTTGGAGACATCTTATCGGAGTAAGGGCTTTGTAGGTCTCCTTGAGAGTGGTAGCTAACCTGGGAGTCCATTAACGTAAATATAGGCAAAACTGTTGGCCTTTCTGCATACGAAGTTGAGGAAGGTGTGGCTTGCAGCTTGCCAGAGTTTTGCCCACCTATTGATAAAGGTTGCGAATGAGTCGTACGACCATGTGTTGAGAAACCATAAGGACTGACTTTGTTGACTGGAACCTGCTGGAAGTTGTAAGGAGTTTCATGAGCGCACTGCTCAGTGTATTTATATATTATTGTTTTTAATTCAGAGTATTTGTTTTCTTCTCTCTTCTCCTTTGCAGGAGAAGCAGTTTCCTTCAATGGACTTATCTCAGCGACTTGTATTTGCAACTGTTCCATATGGTGCATATGCATATCAACAAGAAAATCCAGTTTCTTCCCCATGTCATTAACCTGAAAAATACCAACGTTATGATATTGTATCAAGTCAACAAAAGAGTCAATGCTTCCACACCTTCACTGCCTCCAGCAATGGTGTGCTGCAATCTCTACTGATCGTGAAGGTAATAACAAGATAATCATGACTTTTCCTTGGAAGCTGGACCACAGTGGATGCCAGCTTATCCTATAACTGCCTTAGATCAAGAAGACCTGTCCCTGCTTATGAACTGTGCCAAAACAACTTCAGTGCTGCTGGATATTTGGCAGTCTGGCACCCAACAGCAGTCTACAACATCATGACCAAAGTCTTGATACCATACGGAAAATAACTATAACCATAATACAACAGATGGAATTATCTTTGCACACAGACCTATTCTTTAATTCTTAATAGTCCCATAACATCAGGGTTAAATATCAGGACAAAATATCAGCCTCCATCACTGTAATGGAGTTACATACCTGTCGTTCAACTTTAACAAATTTGCCCATCATACTTTGGTCTTCAGTATCTGCTGTAGATGCTTTGGCTACATATGGATCATTTCTATAAAGAATAAATAAGACTATTAGTGTTCAATTTTTCTTTGCATCGCAGTATGTAATTTATATCAGAAAACAGAATTACCATGCTGGTGATTTATTCATACAGCTCCTTGGAGCCATATTTAAGAAAAGACTGAATTTATTTATTTATCACACAAACAGGAGTAAAAGTCTATTCCACATGATTCCAATGCATTTCTAAAAAATGTTTTCCTGGTTTTTAATTAAAATTATTTGGTTCAAAATTAAGATAAACATTAAGAAAAAACAAAATCAGAAAGTTCAATGTAAAAATGAAAATAATCTCAGACATAGTGGAATAATTCCAGGTCTGTGAAAATCGTTGAGATAGTCTAGATAGTGAGTCTACAGATGGCCATGTGTTTTAAAATCTAATTCTTTATAATTGCTGTCTTTTAAGACTGAATCTGAGTTTCGAGGCTGAGTGGATTTTTCTTTTCAATTTCATCAAACCAAACAGTAAGTGGCAGAGACTGCAGATGTTGAAAAGAGACAGTCTAGCCTGGACATTTAGAGTAGATCCCAGAATAAATTTTCTTCTATGTAATTTTCTACTGCTCATCCATCAGGTGGACTACATTCAGGAGTTAAGAAGATGATCTCTGCTTAACTAAAGAACTTTGATATATAACTTCATGAAAACTAAAATGGTTATTATCAAGTTAAATCTTTATCAAAAGGTTTCTAAAACAACCTCAAAGAAATCTACGTCTTTGCAAAACCTATGTCAAAGTCAAGAAAAACAAATTCTAAGCACTTGTTCTTTAACATGACTTAGAACAAATATACCCTAAAACTTTTAACAGGTCCAGTTCCTCTCTTTCTGACAAAATTCAAAATATAGCAATGAATATATCATACTAAAGCAGAAAGTATAACTAAAACATGTCAGATTCTGCACATTGGGTTACTGATGATACAGGCTCATTCAAATTTTGGAAGCTGCTTTGTTTCCCAAATGATTGTTGCCTCTTCCGTATATGTAGGTCTCTCTTTTCACATCTACATGTTTTTAAATTTTTCACCAGATAGAGCCAAGGTAATTTATTTTCTGTCAGATTACTTTTGTTCTGAGCAACCGTAACAGCTTTGGGGACAGATTGTTGATAGTCTTGTGTGGTTCTTCATGAGTATTTATTGACAGGTTGATAGTCATAAATAACAGAAGAAATGTAATATATTATTTAAGTCTTGCTACCAAGAACGCAGCAATGCAATAACATGCTGTAACTTTCACACAATTTATTTTGAGTGATTCTCACCAGTCATTGGTTCTTGCCATTTGGTGGGGGAGATAACAAAACTTTTTTCACTTCGGGAAGATAACTGGTTTACTGGCAAATTATTGGTGATTTTCATTGAGTTTTTAAGTGGGTTTACTAGTTGAACATTACAAATACAGCACATCTGCAATTAAATATATGTATTTCATATAAAATCACAACCACGCAGAAGTAGAACTAGAAAATTAAGATGGCATTAAGTTTAGATTTCCATCATACATTTTTCTTAGGGTAGCTAGCATCTTTCCAGCTCAACATTTACACATATATATCTTGTATAACGTATTGTCTCAGTACCATCACTGTACCGGTGTACTGCCTTAGTATGAATGAACTTTTTATTTCTGTTTTGGTCTGTACAAAATACTAGTCATAAAAAATTCACCTGGGAGACTGTTGTGAAGGGTAAGAAAAAGCTCCTCCTTTTTGGGATTTCTTATGCTTGGGAGTAGATGGAGGTCCAGGTGTAAAAATCATATCTACTCTGAAAAAAAGAAAAGTGCAACTGCATAAGTCATAGAATCATAGAATGATAGGAGTTGGAAGGGACCTCAAAAGATCCATCTCAAAATGTAAACACAGGACAGAAAATGCTATGCACCTCTGCAGCAAAGAGTAGCAAAGATTTAAAAAGGAAGCATGTTTTGATTTGCTAATATATTGAGGATCATGACATGTTTGTTCTGGTCTGGGTTGAAAATCAATACACTGAACTGTGATTACCTGGTAATTTCAGGGTAATTAAGTAATTATCTAGCTCACTGTTTCCAAACTTTGACTTTTGAAACACACAATCTCATTTCCTTCAAAGGAAATAAATAGCACTATTGTCAAAATACTTCCAATAACCATTGCTTCTAAAAATGTCAGGAGACACACATAAGGCTTTGTGAGGGATAGTGAAAATCAGAATTTGGTTACAGGTGGCAATTTCTGATAGTCTTAATAAACCAGTGACTTTCTAGCAGTTATTGTACTTAATTATCAGTCTTTTTTTTTTTTTTGTCTTCAGTAAATATTCCTTTGGTTTTAAGAACATAACTATAAATGAAGTTTCACAAGGAATTTTACCTGACTTTTTATTTGGAACAAAAACAAGAGGATTCTTTGGGAGGCTCCAGCACATTTAACTACACTCTTTTACTATATCAACATATTCTTTCACTTGGCATATCCAATGGCTCAGGTGCAAGGAAGCCTCACTGTTCATTCATCCTACACACCAAACTGTCCAGACATCAGGAAGCACTAGCCCACAGACCAGTTATCTGTATTATCAGACATGCAGGTGCATTGCACGGCTTCATGGTGTCCCATTCAACTTAAAAAAACTCTAGGCAAAGCTCACAAGGCTAGCTAGATACTTGCTAAGTACCCAAGCATTGCTGAGCCATCAGACCATGCCTCAGCAAACTCCTATGGCATCGCATTGTTCATAGACTCAATATTTGTCTCCTCCCCTCTCATCTCCTTGGTTTTGTCAAACTGCAATCAGTGGAGATCTAGTCAACACAGAGCAGAAAATTTGGGGGAGAGTAAGGGAGATGCAATTGATCAAATGAAGGTGCCCGGTTTGAGCAGGGATTAATTGTGCCATGAAAGCCATTAATTATGTCAATTAGCTCTCTGTTAATTGTAAGAGGAGTCTCACACGGCTTGTTAGAATTATGCTTTTTCTTTGAAGACATTTAAATCGTCTTCCCTGTAGACATACAAATTGCCTGTTGAAATTTTGTGATTGTTCTGCTACTGGTAATTTTTTTTATACTGGGACATGGCATTGCTGAGCGGAACGTAGCAGGGCTGAGGCTGTGCTGTGAGTTGTGCCCCGACTCACCTGGGATGCGTCTGCATCCCCCAAAGCTCTGACATATCCACCACATGAGATGGGCCTAATCATGGCAGGCACCTTTACCACTCCTAGGACTCAAGTGAGTATCCAAGAGGTGCTTTGCTGTCCAAAATCACACAACACCTCAGCTGGAGATAAAGGAAAGATCTCCAGTATAAGATGCGTAGCCCCACTATAGCTAGGTGCAGATTTCTAACTTCTTGAGCCCTCCTCAACCTCCTGAGTTGAAAAAAAGATATTACTGCATTGAAATCTCAGTTCATGTGATGCACAGCTTATTTTATAGAGTACCAATGGTGTTTTGTGGTACATAATCAGAGAGAGCAGATTTTCTGGAGCAATAATAGCAAGGTAGGAATGAGATATATTACATACTTCGAAATGAGCGGCCAGCCCAGCCCTAAACCTTGACATCAGTACATCGAAAAGCACTTTGAAATAAGAAATTATGAAGTTCAGCAGAAGACCAGAGAGCATCCCTACAAAGCCAAGGTAAGTCTAGATAAGGTCCAAATGCTCAGCAAGAGTATCAGCGTGCACTCGCTCAGCTTGAGAGAAATCAAGGGTGTGTCAGCATGGCATTTTGCTGTTCAGAGTGAGTGGAGGTGCTCAGAGAATATGGAGAGGGCTGTGCTGAGACTGAACTAATACAGCCACATCCATATACACACACGTGCACCTGAACCCAAACTCAAACTAGCTCAAGCTCTGACCTGCACCTATGGCTCTGGATGCAAGCAGCACACATTTTTGTAAATGTGCCTCAAAAGCACATTGTGATGAACCACTTCTGTGAGGAAACACCTGTGCGCACAGATTGCACTTGAACAGTCACCAAGGCCTGAATTCCAATTTTTTTTTTATATACGTCAATTTATACATGAGTGAAGGGGATGTAAAACACTCTGCGTTGATGTACTTTTGCAGCTGTATGAGATGATACACCATAAGAGAATCTAGCCCAAAGAAAAGCTCATGTAGAGCTCTTTTATTTATCATCAAATAAGGCAGTGGTCAAGAAAATGCACAAGATTTTTAACTCAATTTCCGTGTTCTAAATATGAATCAGTGGTCTCTTCTGCTGCAGTTACCCCTGCTAGCTGCTCACTGGCATTTACTCTTTGGGAAGAAGGCCTTCTTATTGACCAGCTATGCCATGCCAAGACAGCTTTAGGTGGCCTTGTATGCAAACACGCTGAATATGCTTTTATTTTACCAGTGCAGCTATATATTCCTCCTCCAGAGGATTCTTACCTTGCCTGAAGATATTTTATCCTGGAAAGCATATCAAGATGCCCTGCTGAGTATTGCTCTATCACATCCTTTACATCATAAGGCCTCAAAGTCTCCTTGAATTTTTTTTTATAGAGACGAAATTGTAGTATTCTGCACAATAAAAAAAAAATTATCAACTTACATAAATTACATAATGTTTGCAGTTTTATCAAGTAACTGATAAATACTCTGGTTGTTTATAAATTGAGCATGTTATTTCAAAACAATACAATAAAACCTAAGCAGAGAATCTTTAATATCTTACCATATTTGTAAATATTTAATAGTTGGCTTTTCGTGATTAATAGGCTAAAATCAATTATATGCAAAAATGTTTCTTCAAGCACTATCACAATAATTATAAATGGTTCAAAGCTACAAAATCATACATGGAATTTGATTTTGAACAACACAAGTCACAGGAGATTTTGAAGCTGTGAAGCAGAAGCTGCTTTTCTTATGCGCCAGACTATTACAAAGCTCATCTATAGTATATGTAACCATGAATCATCTTCAGCTTGATTTTCATTTTGCACCTGGGAAAGTTTTAGATAGGAAATATTAATTAGATAGTAATGTGAAAGTTAAGAAGTCAGCAGCAGTTCAACTTGTGGAGAAAAGAAAAAAGCATTAGAACTGCTTGATGTGTCCTTCAAAAAATGAGAATATAACGATTGTTTTTATAATAATAATAATATTATAAATACAGTATGCTATAATATAATAAATAGAATAAATATAATAGAATAGAATATATTTATGTAATTGTTGCTATTATTATAAAATGTCCTAGGAAATAATAACAGAATTCTTATAAGAAGGACCAGTGCTGGCCAAAGCACTTGAAAACTGGTATTCCTTTTTTCATTCGTTTCTGTTTATACATCAGTTTATGCAGTTATACCTTGGTAGATTAAACAAACAGACAAGAAACATATGTAAAGAATGAAAAGTGTTTTAATTCTAATATTTTGGCCTTGGGATCAAAGGGTTTGTTTTCTCAGCAGAATCTCTATGTTCTTATTGGTTTGAATTCAAGAATTGCTGACAACTGTTAAGATTCTGACGTGTTTTTCATTCAAGGTTGGTGGTTTTTTAAAATCTTTCTAAAATCTGTATAAACTTTAATTTAGCAAAGATAATTCTATCATGAAATTTTAAAGGGTTTTAGCTCTTTAACTCTGTTACTTATAGTTCTTTCAAGACTTCAGAATTATACCAAAATCTGTCAAACTATACATGATAACTGCAAAATGAAAAATAGGAATCACATTGTTAGCCATTTCAATTTAAACCTCCTTGTTCATGACTCTGAAACCCCATTAAGTGGTTTTGTCTGAAAGGATTGCTTCCTATTAGCATTCAGGGCCTGGGTAAACTATACAAGAAACAAACAAGCTTGGCTCTTGATTAAGTTTAAAGGGAAATTGCACTAATCAATTAGATTTGGACAGGATATGAGAAAGAAAGTTTTGCAAAAGTGATAAAGGGGATCTCACAGAGATGGGGCTGGAAAACAGGAGAGATGTGTAGTCTGTGTTTGAAAGCATGTATCAGGGAAAGAAAGAGAAAGCTATGGAGGAAGTAGGGATGAAGGAACTTCCAGCAGGAGGGAAGCAGTCATGGGTAACACAACCAAAGCCTGTGGGACACGGCTTTCAGCAGGCTTGAGAAAATTTGGAATGACTGGTTCTCCTGCACCCAACCGGAAAAGAATCAGGAAAATATCTACTATGATCATGTGAATGTAAGTATACAGTTATACACTTATAACCATCTTCCTTGAAGCTTTTCTAAGAAGATAATTTTGGGACATGCAGTATTTTACCTGGAAGGAAGTAACTGCCTGTCCCAGAATTTAACAACTTCTAGATTAAAAAGTAATTGCAATGAAACCAGGGTGTTTTCCTGTGGGGGCATTTTTCAACGGAAGAGAGTAAAAAAACCGTGTGGAGGAGTAACAGAGCATCAGTGAATGAATTCTATGTACCTGATGTGCTAAACACATTATTGAGCCTTACTAGGAGTTTTTTAACCCTTGGGAATATCTCTTGTGATATGAAAATAGAGATGACACATGTCACAAGCTGAAGACTGCTGAAATGGAGTCCACAGCATCTACTAAAGAAAGAGCTCTAAAGCATGTTGCACACCCATACAATTGTAAATAGAGTCAGCTCAGAGTTTATTATTAAGAGAAATTTCCAGTTTTACATAAAAACGACAGTCACTAAATTGAGCAAGAGTCTATATTTATAAAACATTTTAATGAGTAGCTGTATGTAAAATTCTTTTATAATAAATACATTTATGGAGTATCCTGCAAAAACAGCATGTTACCAAAAGACATTTTCCTTTCTGCGTATTTTCACAGAGGACTTTGAATAGGGTCTGTCTTGTGCATTTCAATGTATCTAGGATTATCTAATCTACTGCAATTTAAAAAAGTAGTAGCAGCAATAATGAATCAACAAGTAGCAACATGGTAATGTGATTTCCTGAAGCATAAGCCTTCAAAGTCAAAGAAAAGCATTGAGGAACATCGATACATTTACCTGACAGCTCGGATGGCTGTTTTAAATGTGGGGATCATGTCTTCCATAAGGAAGTCGCTACTGTCGCCTCTCTCCTCTGCCATGGGTTCCCCTGTTCCTGCATCTGCAAAGCAGGTGAAAAAAACCAGCCATGTGTGAACATCAGACCACACGATATTTACAGGGAGGTCTGGCTGACTAAAGCACTACATTGAGTAATTTAGTAAGGGAGTATCTCTTGCAGGTTCGTCCTTCTCTGATCAGCTCTTGAAAAGGATTTCATAACTCTGCTGGGACAGCTGTAAGACAGTATTTGAGAGATCTCTCAGATTCCAGCATTTCTGAAATACTGGGAACTTCTCTTTCTTTCCAATGGATTTAGAAGTTTCCACTTATATGAACCTTTACAATGAAAAATCTTTGCCAAAATTATTTTATGTAAGTCAAAAACAGTATAAAAGCTACAGGCCAAATTCCACTTGCATTGCTTGTAGCTTACGTACCCTCGTGAAAGACTGACCAAGTTCCTGGTGTGGACACCCAGACCACATCCATGGTAGCATGCCCAGCATACACCGATGCCAGCTGGCACAAAACTGTTATTTAGAGACCATTTAGATGCTATAGGCCAGAGGAGGAAAACGTGTTCAGGGAAGCTGAGAGGAAAAATAATGTTTCATGGACACCCAAAAGAAATCTGCTGAGGGGCAGCATCAGTCTTAGGGATATTGGGCAAGAATCAGATATTGACTCTATAAAACAAGGTTTTAACAAAGTGCAAAGAGGAGATATGTGACATTCTTGGACACAGGCTAGGGTGGGGCTGGATGCAGGAGGGAGCTAGGTTAGCATAGCATCCTTCCTGATAAACTGAGCCATGATGGCAGGTGCTTTTTGGGGATACAGATTTACTGCCCAGTGTGCCCCCTTTTTCCTTGTCAAATTAAGTTGATTCTACCACTGCCTTTATCCCAGTGGTTTTTACGGAGGGCCATTGTCTTATTTCAAGTGCTCTGTTGCTTGGACTCCAGCATTCATTTCCTGGGGCTTCCCCAAACCTGTCATGTAAAACCAAGGATGAGCCATGCTTGGTCCAGAAGGCCACAAACCTTCAGCAGAAGATGCAAAGGAACAAAGTAAAATGGGGAGAATAGGGGATGGATAGAAAAAAATCAACACAGATGGGCTACCTTCTGAGCTTTGCCAAAAAGCGTATGCTTTCATTCGGAATGCAGTGCGAAAACGCTCCTTATTATTCAAGACAACATTCTTAGGCTCTTTTGAAGGACTTTCTTCAATGGCATCTACATTCAGAGGAGTAAATAGCTTTCCTTTAGTATTGGTACCACGAACCCGATCCAAGAGACCCAGCTTTTGGCTACAAAATAAGCAAAAGTAATCATTTTCCTCCTTTGTACACTTTTATCTTGTTTTCATGATGCTTTAAGAATATAATGGGTTAAGTAAATGTTTTGTACACAAGGACACTGCTGGGGCTACCATAATACGTCAATGTCTTTGTAAGTAACAGTTAAGCTCTACAGATAATTAGTTACTTTTTATGAGCATTTTTTTCTATCAGTTTAAAATGATACCAGAGGGTCTTAATATCTTCTACATGTCATGTATCACAATGCTTCAGCTCCCATAGCTTGTCTGAAGCATTGGATTTATTTTAACATAAACACAATCACCTAGGCAGTTATGTTGCCTAATCATAAGGATGTTTGGTCTTTCCTGCTCAGTGCTTTCTTTAAATACTGGGTCTATGGCAAGCTATTAAATGAATAACTCATAGAATTATAGAATGGTTTGGGTTGGAAAAGACCTTAAAGAGCATCTAGTTCCAAATCCCCTGCCATGGCAGGGACACCTCCTACCTGATCAGGTCACTCAGAGCCCCATCCAGCCTGGCTTTGAATACTTTCAGGGATGGGGCTTCCACAACTTCTCTGGGTAACCTGTTCCAGTGCCTCACCACCCTCACAGTGAGGAACTTCCTCCTAATATCTAATATAAGTACTGGAAGGCTGCTATAAGGTGTCCCTGGAGTCTTCTCTTCTCCAGGGTGAACAACCTCAAATCTCTCAGCCTGTCCTCACAGGGGAGTTGTGCACAGCCAGGAGTAAAATAAAGTTAGATGAGCTGTAAACCAAAGAATTATCAAAACACTGGGAAGGCATTGCCAAGCAACTATTAGGAACATGGTAGGTAGGGCAGACTACCTGGTTCTTTCCACCATTCACAGTCATCCCTCACTATGGTGGAAACTGAGATAACCTATATGAATTGTAATAAAGTGATCCTCTGTGCACTGTCCTCTTAGAGGTTTACCGACTGAGGATGTTTGTCCTCCAGTGACAACATGTAGCTAGAATTGCAACTACCTGCCATCTTATCAGCATTGGTAACACTTCTGAGAACCTGATGACAGTAACAGTCTTAAAGGCAATTATTACTAGCACTGAAAAGAGCAACACAAAAGGAATTTTCTAGTGAGTATATCAGCTTATTTATGCTCTGAACACTTTGTAGGTGATAGGTGGTATAAAGATCTGATTTGCTTGTTCACTTTGCTGCTTAAATATTTATTAATTGCACATCTGCTGTTAAAAAAAACGTGGGGTCAAGCCATGGGAAGAAAGCCTGTCTTTTAACCTGTTGCTGGATGCTGCAGTGCGGGTCAGCTCTGGGGACAGGTGAATGGGCAAGAGGCACTTCCATGCGGGACCCCGTGTCAGGCAGGTTGATTGGAGGGAGGAAAGAAACCGCCACAGCTGGGAGGTTTCTGAGAGCCACGGCTGAGACCAGAGCTGAAGGATGAATGGCAGTGGTGACCATAAGAAAGAGGTTGCATAGGTATGCAGAGAGGTATCTGTGTGGTGTGCTCAGCTGAAGCCACTAAGGTTGCTGGCAGGAAAGGCAAACATGGGGAGTGTCCACCATGCAAGGACACAGTGGACAAAGATGGAAACTTCGTGTGCACACCTTGCAAGTCAAGGGTCTCACTGACAGGACTACTTGTCCTCTGTTTAATGAGTTGTCTTTTTCAGATGGCTTATTTTAATGTTCTATTATCTCTGGTGTCATTGGTGCATCTCTTTGAAAGGAGGATCTATTTCTATCTCAGAACTCTGCCTGTTGCAGTATCCCGCCACAATGAAAGTTCCTAGGACATTTGCCTTAAAGTGATAAAAGCAAGATTTAAAGACATATACGATGATGTTGCAGCTTTCATAAGTGTGCTGACTCTAGTAGGAATACTACAGGTAACAGCATACAAAATTCATAACTCATCTGAGCATTGAACATCCCAGCTCTTGTGGCTTTTTGTATTTTGTGGGGGGTTTTTAGTATGAATAACTGGGGCCTTCATCTGTACATCTTTGACCCAGGAGGTAATGAATTATGGTTTCCCTGTCACTAAAGATGGAAGCACTAAACCTTTGTGTAGAATGTCTTCTCAGGCCTTCTGAATTTTCTTGTTAACAACATGACAATAGTTGTGAATGCAATTTCTGCATTCTAATAGATTCAGATGCTTGCCTTGTCCCTGCACATGTGAAGTGTTTATGTGTGTGCAAGTATGGAGGGGGCTACTAAGAAGGACTTGTGTGAGTATGGAGACACAGAACTAGCCCTATAAATCAGCATTTCCAGGACTGAAGCCAATGATGTGAGAAGACAGAAGCATGGATTTGAGTAAAGAATCCGAACAGTTTAAGTGAATGGTATTGGTATTACTCAGACTTCACCCTAATGTCATTTCCAGAGGAATTCATGGCATGGGGGGAAGATACACAAAGTGCAGACAAATGTATGGAGCAAAAATCAGCGATTCCTTTCTTCTTTGCATAAAAATAGAGAAGTTACTTGTTGACATTTGTGGCAAATAAGTCACCGCTGATTGTGCAGGGCAGTCTCATGTTCACTCTTAAGAATTTACTAAAAAAAATAATTTCAAGAAGGATGGCCAAGAAGAGTTTGGAACCATGTCACATCACTGAAAAAGATTTTAATACAAAGAAAGGGACCAGAAATCTAGCTGAGTGATAACAAGGAGTCATCCAGGCAATATAAAGTTTTGGGTATGAAGCTCCTAGGATGAAATCTAGCAGCGAAACACATGATTTCAGATGACAAGGTGATTTCCTCAAAGGCAGGAAGTGGTCACATACTACACATTGTCCTTGACCAATGTATTAAATGTCACAAGATTTGGTTTCCTAAAATTACAGAGAAGTTCTCAAGAGAAGAGAGAACCTGAGAGATGAAGAAGCAGAAAAACAGGTGTGAGAGAGGACAATTGTTTATAAAAACCAATTTAATACTGTATCAGAAGAATATAGATGACATTTCATATGGCCTCTGACTCTCTCTCCAGAAACTTGCTTAGTCCTTCAAAATACATATCCAGATTGCTTAAAGTTTGCCCCTTAAAACTTCTGTAATAATTGCCTTCCTTACACAAGACAAGGAGGCATAAAGTGCACTGCAAGGGAACAGACAGGCAGAAGTGTCAGTGGATGATGCAAACTATTCAAAACGTTAACCTTGCAGGTTATCTTTTTTTCCCCATATAGAATAGAAATGTAGGCAATACATGCCCAAATCTCTGCCATGAAGCTGTACAAAAATAGGAGTGAACAAGATTTGACATAATAGAGTAAAACAGTTGAAAATATTCCTCTGTATTCAGCAAAAAAAGCTACTTATTTGCAGTGATATTTACCACTGCATATACAGCCACACTGACTTGTTTGGTTTTGTTGTGTTGGGGTTTTTTTTTTGTTTCTGTTTTTTTTTTCCTTTGCAGGATGGGGTTTAAGTTAGATAATATGAACTAAAAGCATTCCCAAACTGTTTCTCTAGGGTTTTTCAACTTTCCCCATTGATAAGTGTCAGTTTAGGAACAAACTGTTGTCCCAAGACTGTTCTTTGAGAATCTTAGGTTTAGGAGCTCAAACTCATCTGTACTAAGCTGTTTTAACACAGGATATTTAACTTTTTAAGACTGATCTTTATACCAATTGCTATAATCAGTAGGAAGTTGTCAACCCACAGAGTGCAATTCAGCTCCATTTCACTTTGGGATGACTTTACAGCCAGGGGAATTTGTCTCTTGCTATTGACTACCAAAAGATCTAGATGAAAATTAATTTAAAAAGCATGTTTCTAGTCTAAGTTAAAGAAACCTGAGCTGAAGCCTTCCTCATCAACTGAATCCTGATGATTAACCCTTAAAGAAGTAACATTCAGATTCATAATAGTATGTTTATGCAATAAATATAGACAATTGTGTTCATCTCCAGGCAGCCAGAGCAGTAGAATCATTGGCAAACAATTCATCAACTTCACATGGAAAAATACAACAGTATACAAAAAAATAATACAACCGTACACCAAAAAACCCCGAAACAAAACCCACGCTTCTTTCCAGATAATGACCTGCTGTCATAAGAAAAATAAAAGGACTTTATTCTCATTTCCACAGGATGAAATACGGGTCCCCTGGGGTTTTTGTTTTCATTGTGCTTTTTAGAAAGACTTAGGAAACATTTGTTCTCATGACACAATCTCCTTCATTAAAACAGCATGCGCATGGCTCAGTCTCAGAGTGTTAAGCATGCGCAGATCACATCATCCTTCATGAGAGTGGCTAGGACAGTGGTTCCCACCCATAGATTCATGTACTGCTGCTTTCTCTTTCAGACTCTTCCTATTGATATTAGCTACTCTTCCTCACCTTGGGATAGCGGTCCCACTTCATTTGGCTTCCTTACATCAATAAAATATGATTCCTGACTTCCAGCACAGCTCCAGAAGCTGGGGAGATTCAAATGTATCCTAAACATGCTGATAAAAATACAGAGTAGTTTCTCTGACTTCCTTGGATACATTGCCATTACTTGTCTTGCAGGTTATTGCATCCTCTCCCTTGTGGCGGAATAAAAATTTTCCCCAAACTTGTGTCTTGGAAGTGGAGTCCCAAGACGAGAACTCCTTAATTCTGTTGTAGATATAGACCATCATAAAGGGAGGAAGGCAGAAGCATTGCAGGCAGTTTGGCTTGAAAGCTTCCCCCCTAAAGAAAAATTCAGCTCTCAGATTCTTCCTCCCCAAGAGCAATGGGAATTATTTTAGACCATCTGTGAGATGAATTTGGTGGCTGGATACAAGAGATGACTGGCTTCTGCAGCAGATGTTTTACCTTGCTCAGAATAAAGAGTGGGAACCACTGAACTAGAAATACTTTTCCAGAAACAGTCATGCAAGGAAATAATGCAGTTACACCCCATCATGCAAGCCAGATACTCTCCTCTCTATGCTTTGTCTAGTATTGGAGCTTTATAAACACATGGTACATGTATGAGAAGA